TTCCAAACAACTTAAAAAGGGGGGGGGGGAGGGGAAGAACTACCTTCTTGATTTTTAGTCTCATATTAAGTAATCTATAGAATAAGTTAGATGGCAGGAACTAGTTACCTACCTTCATCCCTCATATTCCGATCTATCTGTGGACCAGCATTCCTTTCTCGGAACTGTATACCTTCCATGTGTTGTTGCATTGCTTCCTGTATTACTTCATACAATGGCTGATCCTGGATTGTTTGGATGATATGGGGAAAAAAAAAAGACAGGCTAAATGAAATGTCCAGATACCAACACTTAATTTATTATATATGATAAAACCATCAGACATCCAATCAGCATCTTTGTCAACTGGTGCTGACCGAATTGTATTTAAATCTTGAAATCAAAAATAAAAAAAATTAAAACTTATGATAAACTTTCTTTTTTCAAAAAGCTCTGCTCAACTTCCCCCACCCAAACACGTGATACATGCCATCAAATGTATTAGAAATTATTAAAATGTGGAACATTTTTCTATTTTAGCATATTGCACCATAAAATGATGGAGAATATTTAATTTATAAAGCCTTTTAATACTGTTTCTGAATAATAAATGCTGCAAAAAATAGTATACTTCCACAAGACCAAAAGGAGGACTCTAAACACCCATAAAAGTGTTTTGGGCAACTGTTTCATTTACAGTTATGTTTATGGTTGTAAACAGCTCATTATAAATTATCTTTACCAAAGTGCCTGCAGACTGAGGACAAGAGTCATCTTTAGGATACATTCTAGAAACAGGACACCTGAGAACGTCTGTACCATTTGGAACAATTTTACAGTAATCCTGTATACATTGAAGCCACCACCACACAGCATCACGGCAGTTGTATCTGGCATGAATCCCCTGGCCAAGAAGATTGGGGATAAGACCATGCCTTAGCGTACCAGCAAATGCCAAAATGATGTTCCTGAAACAGTAATGAAAGAAAAACAAGGTATGTAATATATCAAATGCCAGTATAGACTGAATTATTTTCAAGGTACTAAGGTTTCCAAATAGTAAACTGTAAAAGGTAAAACAGTCCCACCCTAGAGGACTGCAGATCCCATTGTAAGATCAGGATCTAGAACAGGTCTGTAGGAAAAGGCTAGTAGGTAGTTATTTGACACTTTGCATAACAGACAATTCACATAATGAATTACAATTTGACAAACCCACACATTCTTTCCCTGCTTTTTTAGCTGCAATCTGTTGTGGCAAACAAATAAAAATATTAAAAGCAATGACAGGAGCATGTCCACAAACCTGACATGTTTTCTAAGTATAAAACCTGGCAAATGAGCAAACATCTCATACGTAAAAGTTAATTTGCAATGACCACAAAAATCACCGACTCCCAGCCTTAGTACACATAACTGGTAGCAGTCACCAAGTTTACCATAGATTAATACAACATTTCAAGTCAGAGTGAGATTCTCTAAAACTTTGTTTTCCAAAAATTAAAAAAGCAACTTATGTTGAATATAAAAATGTGTTAACTATAATTTATTCAAGGTTAGAATAAGCAACATATAGTGCAAGAGCAATGAGCACTAAGTTGGACATATACAAACTGAATATCAGCTTCAAACCAACCATAGGAGAACTGGGCCCCAGGGGTGGCTGTGACACCCCTGCTGGCCACACAGCCCTTACACCCACTCTGGCCTCCTAGATCTCTTTCTTTCCCTCTTACCTGCCATGTCTTGTTGTAATTAGTCAAATTAACGGAAAGGAACGCTGCCCTAAGGTCCCAGAGTGAGCCCTAGCTCTACCCCTCACAGGGTTATGGTCTGGCTCTCTTGGTGTCATGCGTGTTATTGCCCCTCTCAGGTTTGCACTCCAGCCCCCTTGGTCTTAGGCTCCAACTGCCCTGAGCCCTGCCTCTGCAAGGGCTCAAAGTCACCATGTTCCTCCTGGGCACGACTGGGACATCCTACCTCCCCTGATAGTCCATTCCAGTCCACCAGTATAACTTATAACCAAAGAGTGGGCCCACTGGCTACAACACAAACATTTCCTCCTGGGCAAATAAACACTACAAAAGGAAAAGCACACTACTGCTTTA